GGAATGTTATATTTCAACAAATTCTTTTTAAACCCTAAAATTAGTATTACTATTAATTTTACATGAAATTGTCTCTGTCTTGTGATATACTGATAACAAACATTGACTCTATCAAGTTGCAGTTGTTTAGTATTAACCAGAGCAGAGTAGGTATTAAAAGAAATCTAGTAAACATAAAATCTAATGGTTAATCATAACAATAGCCCCACCACTACTTCTAACTTAAACACTTCTAATTCTTTTGTTTTGACGTGTATTCGCTAGATATCTGCTATCTAAACCAGCCATTAAGTGTCTGATAAAATCGCTCGTAGCTGCGCGAACGCATCAAGGCTGACCACTAGTTACTACTTTCGCTTGGTTCTATTGCCCGATCGCCCAGAATGAGAATATCTCAAACGCGTAAGGTTAGTAGAAAATTGATTGAGTGACCTTTGATAACTATTAGTTCTATTTTATACCAATAGACGTCGCTATAAGGATTATTATAATACCAAAATTCGTTCACATTCATAGTTAAATACCTATATGAAACTAAATTATAACTTTGAATGTGAGCGAATTTTGGTACATAATGAATATTTATAAAAATATTCACTAACAGGTACAGTTTTGTAGTGATTACGGATATGATTACGTTTTACAAATTAATTAAATACATAATTTGCATGTAAGTACTCATGACTAATACAAAACTGGTAGTTCACAAATCAGTTAATTAATATTAATTAATAAAGGTACATATATTATTATGTACACCTACTCGTACACATACTCGTAAGTAGGTGTACAAACAAACACATAATATGTACAAACCAGTTGAAGTACGAGTACAAAAGTTATTGCAAGTTCTCTGGATCTATTTATCAGTTATAATACTTATAATCTGCTTTAGGTACTTATTTTGAGCAAAACATATAAAAAATAGCTAACAGCTCAATTTCTTTAAAAATCCAAATGTTATAGTTTAATATTTATTTAGAGGCTTATATTATTTTGCATTAAATTGGTGAAGAACTTAAACTAAACACAAAATTGTTAAGCCAAAAAAATATAACTTGTTATTATAGATGAGCGTGTAACAGTTCAAATGGCTATATTCATTGCTTAGCGGCAATCAGCGAGTATGTTATTACGAAGATTGAACTAGATCTCTCACATTAAGCGTTGAGTAACTGCCAGTTCGTACATTAGCTAAAGACTATATTTTATCACCGCGGCTTTGGAAACATAGGTAGCGCAATAATGTTTACAGTTTCATGACATATTAACACTTAGCCAATAAACTGAGAAAATACTGTTTTTTAGCTGCAAGCAGAAAAATGTCCTTTCATATTGCAAACATGGTAAAAAGTGCAATTTGTCCAATGTAAGAGTACACCTCTACATTATAGGTACAAAGAAAAGTAAAATGTAATTACTAAATTATAAAAATAAACTAGTTCTGGTTTGCTAAGCATGTAAACTAAGAACTTGCTTAAATGTGTCTAAATTATAAACAAATGTATCAACGAAACCGCATATTAACCTGTAATAAATTAAGTTTGTAATTAACATATCGTAACAATATAGTAACATCGTAAGTTTAATGGGCAGTTAAGTATGGAATAACAATGTATATTGGTGCTTAATATAAATGTGAGTTATTATAATTGAAATGAAGTCTCTGCGGTTTTCGAATTCGCTGAAATATTGCATTTGCTTTAATTGCATTTAAATATATTTTATGATTATTGCTTTACGTCTAATCAATTACCACAACAATCATTTAGTACACCTACTGCACGAGGACGATCTCAAATGTACTATAGGTGCAGGATAGAGACAAATGGAGGATTTGGTCCACACTCCCCACGTTGGCCAGATGGGTAGAAACGGCCTGATTTATTTTTATTTATTTATTTAAGGATAGTACACAGCAACACAGCACAATATCAATCTGTAATAACAATGTTTTAAGTAGATTTTGTAGGCCAATTATGATACTCGCTTTATTCTCCTTTAACCGCCTGTTACGACATTTACGGAAAGATTGGGTGGTTGGTCTTTTACTACTCTGCTGGTACAAGTTGTACAGACATCAAGAAAAAACTATGGTCTCTATTGAAGTTGTAATTAGGGTGAATTTACCATAAGAATGTTGGCAAAAGACCTTAATTCCTTTATTGTTCTTGGCTGTGCTCGAAGCGAGCGTCTCCGTCTATTGTGCGGTAGTAACAAAAGTAAAAGTGGTCGATTCAACGGCCGACATTCAGTCGTGAGTTGCCTCACTCACGCTCGAGAACTCGCTTGAGGGCTGGCAACTGCAAGAATAAAGGATCTTGCGCAAAAATAATTACTGATAAAGCTGATAAGAGCTTTCACTAGATTTAACTGTAAAAGCTCCCATTAAGGGTGGAACTCCCTGACACTTTCACTCACTGCATTGACTGACTGAAGACTGACAACTACAAAGTTTTAACATTATCGATTCCAAACAATGTACAATGAAATGTTCATGGTGTACAGGAGAGGTGGTAGTAGTAGGTAAAGAAGTGTAGACTGTACAGGAGTTATCTTTAAAAAATATTAGAAAATGTCATGACTGTACACCTACTCTACAAAAAATTTAAACAAAGCTATATCAGGTGGAACGAGGTCTGAAACATTTTGCCAACACTAAAAATCTTAAGCAACATGTTATAAACGAATACTTAATTTTAATGTTAAAAACAAGCACACTTTTGATGACTGAGCATGTTTGTGAGGTTTAAATAAATATCCCATCAAAACAATACTTGTCAAAAAAACCAAGTCTCGCAACTCAGTTGTTCTACGGTAAAAAGTTGTGAGATCCATGTAATACCAAGTCCAGGCCAGGAAATCTTTAACGTTTTACATAAATATATTGACTTGGCCATCGCACTAAATAATTTAATTTACACGTGTTTTCATGCGATGGCCAAGTCAATATATTTATGTAAAACGTTAAAGATTTCCTGGCCTGGACTTGGTATTACATGGATCTCACAACTTTTTACCGTAGAACAACTGAGTTGCGAGACTTGGTTTTTTTGACAAGTATGTTTTTGATGGGATCTCATTTCTTTTTGTATTTTGTAGACAGCAGTTATGTATCTAGAAAACTGGACCGAAATTGAAAAATTTTACTCGACTTGGCGGTTGCACTACCGTGCCCCCAAATATTTTAGTTTTTCCTTGATTCATACACCAAACACTACTTATATTCCAAATTTGAAGCTTCTAGGTCTGCTAGAAGTGCCTTAGAATTTTGATGATCGGTGAGTCAGTCAGTGAGTGACAAAATTAACAAAATTAAGAAACTTTGACCCGTTATAATTCTTAAACTACTGGTTCAAATTGAATGAAATTTGAAATATACCGTGTCTTTACAATGCCTGCATAGCTAATGAAAATTCAGCCTTCTAGTTTTATCCACAACGAAGTTACAGGCGGTCGAAAACGGCCTGAATTGCTTCGAGAAAAGGATGGTACGGCCGTGCTCGACTTGGTGGGGGGGCACTGCCGTGCCCCCAGATTTCTTAGTTTATGTTGTCAAATTGAAAGTTTCTGAACTTTTTTAACACAAGTCTTTAATCTCTTTTTATCAGCCCTAACGTCGCTTCAGAGATAAACATGATTAAGTGACGACGACTCGCGGTTCAACGTCTCTAACCGCGGTAGTGCTCGATAAACGTAATCGATTTAATTAATTCCATTGTGTGATCGATATGACATGAATCGTTTTACTAGTCGTACTTGTTTATTAGGTTTTGATATAATAACAGTCACGCAAAATCTATACTAATATTATAAATGCGAAAGTAACTCTGTCTGTCTGTCTCTCTTTCACGCCTAAACCACCGAACCGATTTTGATGAAATTTAGCATAGAGATAGTTTGAGTCCCGGGAAAGGACGTAGGATAGTTTTTATCCCGGTTTTTGAAACAGGGACGCGCGAGATAAAGTTTTTCTGTGACAGACAAAATTCCACGCGGGCGAAGCCGCGGGCGGAAAGCTAGTATACCGTAATTCTAAATTGATTCTGATTCTTGCGTGCTTGTTTCAGAGTTATTTTTACCAAAGCTTTTAGCACTTTAGTAATCCCATTATTCTTAAATATGTCACAGTCATAATTTAACGTAATTAGTAGGTAATTACTTTTTACTAATGGCAGCATAAAAAGGCGCTAAATGAAGTTGCTATTATCTACCATTACGATCAGCACATTAATCAACAATGCATCGCACTGCAATAAACGTTTCCAATGATTACCTCAGAGAAACAATCGCTAATTGGCGCCCAACGACCTCAGGGGGTTGCCCAATGGACCGACGGTCGTCACGGCTCATGAGGCAGATTACACTTGCGCACGCGCGGCGCTAGAACGAAACCAACCTTAATAATTGGGTCACGCTTTGACAACTCCAAAAGGGTAGTTGACACTGTACTTTTTATTTCTTCTTTGGCTCTCACGGATTGCGTTTAGCCACGACAGTGTGGGATTGGGTAAAAGGAAGAGAAGCGAAACAATTTTAAAGCACAATATGGTGTACTGGACCGTTTGTGTTGCTATAAAAAACTAGTACCTAATCCTGTACATGCGCTGTGATGCGTATAAAGTATTATATGCATTATATACTCGTTAAGCTAATTTATTAAACTACTATTTTGAGCTAAGCTAATTTATTGAAACATTGTAATAAACTATTTCTTTTAAATATTAATGAGCATTTAAAATCGGAAGTTAAGTAAACTTTAACTTCCCTTTTTTATTATCAATTAGCTATGTACTTTATAAATAAGTGTAAAAATCATAATTTCTCGTGTGTTTCGTAACCCCACTTGTTAAATAAGTTACGATAACTTGGTGTTAACCAAGTGTTTTAGTTTTTTGGAATGCCTTATGATCATTGAGGTGGAATAGTATTAAATGTTTCCGTAAACATAAACATACTTTCACTAATTATTATTAATATTCTTTTGTTTTATTTTTCAGCAAACGCAGGCATCCTCCTCGAGCACGCGCCAGCGTGCCCTGAGCAACATGGTGTTCAAGTAAGTAAAACAAAATTGCAATTAGTTTAAATTAGTCAACAATAGCAAAATTTATTATAAAATGCCGACGTGTTTCAAATTGTTGGCAGAAGAAACGTTATTTTTTTTTAGTTAAGGCGTTAAGCTTTCTGAAGCTTTTTGTTTCGGGGTATAAAAGAAATTATCCTTCTTCTTGGCTATTTTGCTCTCTTTTTCGATAACTAACACCTTAATGTGTCATCAGTCTGGTCAAAATAAGTTAAAATGATATTCTCAGAATTTTTAGATCATTTTAAATGTCAGTCGATTGCAACTGTATTTCTTTCAACAAGGTCTGCCGGACACGTACATATTGTGCATGACATTCATTCAAAAGTGCAAAATGACAGTGCATTGCCGTTCTAATTACCTCTGCGTAAAATGTGCCCTTGAGGTCAACCGCAACAGTAGACAGTACTGGCATAACCCTGTCACTTAATTTATTTCCTATCAATAAACTTGTACAAATTACTGACAATCACACAATAAATAACATTAAGAAAACTTGACGAAGTTAACAGCAAAATAAAAGTGGCTGCACTAAATTACGAAATATTTCATATAAAATGTTGCAAAGACACATAAAGAGAGTAAAGCTTCTGACTCTACTTCACAAACTGTGCAACTTGGTCAAAATATATGGTGTTACATGGTCGTTTTACTAAATCGAGTACCTACAGAAGGTGAAAAATTTAATCACTCTTTATTACCTCAATTCTTGCAATAACGTAAAAAGCAAGATATTTTTCTTTTAACATCAACATTTCATCTTTCTTCCATACCTAACTCTAATATTATGTATAACTGTGTCCCTTGCGAGATTCATACATATTTATACAGATGTTAGATGCGCCAAATTACTTCAATCCCCCATTTCACTCACTTCAGTGCTCACATGGAAATTCCTAAGTTCGTTCGTTTCAGCCGAAAGACGTCCACTGCTGAACAAAGGCCTCCCCCAAGGATTTCCACAAAGACCGGTCCTGCGCCGCTCGCATCCAGGCACTTAAGTTCCTAAGTAAGCGCAAAATATTTGACTTTGACTTTTCTTAGTTTAAAATAATCTTCACTAATTTCCAGGCGTACGCGCACCCCGAGCTCTGTGACCAGTTCTTCCTGTGCACCAACGGCACGCTGACGGTGGAGACCTGCGAGAACGGCCTGCTCTTCGACGGGAAGGGCGCTGTCCACAACCACTGCAACTACAACTGGGCCGTCGACTGCGGCACCAGAAAGGCTGATTGTAAGTTCATATCATTCACCACAAGGTGGACTGACGACCTCATAAAATAGTAGGAAGGCGCTGGATGTAGGCCGCTACCAATCGGGCGATGTGGAAATCATTGCGAGAGACCTATGTTCAGTATTGAACGTCCTGCGGCTGAAATGACGATGATGATCATTCACTGACTTAGTACACTAGACATACTAGATAATAAAGTTATACCGAGCACGGGCACGAGCCGCTCGACATGTCATGCAAAGTTTGCACAGACTTGTTTTCGGCATCAGCCTGTCTATTTGAAGTTTATCTTATTAATTTATGGGTCAAAGCTCTATGGCACGCATCGCATGACATGTCATGTGAATTACTATAGATGACCCAAGCTGAACTGTCCCACCAAACTCAATGACAGGGGGGCGCTACCATCGTTCAACTATATGGTTTCCAACATGGCAAAAATCGGAACCAGCGATCCGGTATTGACGGTGGCGCTCCACTGTCAATGTCATCGATAGGACAGTCCAATATTTTGGAACTATATGTTTGAGTGACATACATATGTGGCAAAGTTCTGCGATAATAGCTGCCTGATTATACGAAGGCATCAAACTATTGCTGGCTCGAACTGAAAGTAGTTTTGTGTTAGGTTTCCTTTTATTCCATACATTCTAATACTTACTTAATTGTGTGAAATAATAATAGAACATAGTTACGTACAATAAAAGTAGATTATAAGGCTATTAGGTACAAGTACATACAGCTAAAAATTATTATTAAAAAAGTGAAAATTTGTTGCTTAACAAGCGTAAAACCTTGTTTAATGCTCATGCAATGTTATAATTAAATAGGAAAAGGTGAATTATTTTCTTAAAACATGCTATTTTATGAAATATGGCTCAAACATAAAGTACCTATAAAATGTGTGTTATATTAAATAAGCGATTATAATTATTAGGTCCGTATTACAAAACCTTGAATTCCAGTATGTAAACCTAACACATGGCATTTATGATAGAGTTGAAACAAGTGTTATAAATTATAATTTGTAATAAACATGCACATTAAATAGTTTTATTATTTATACTGTTATAACATTTAAAACCGTTTTCACCATCAATTCCTAATTTTTAATTGACCCATATGAAAACAAAATTCCTGATAAATGTTACCATAGGGGTCACTAAAAAATTAGGGATTGATGGTGAAAACGGGCATTAGACACTTAAATTATTCTAAAATCCAAATCATTATTTCCAGTGACCCCCTACTCGACCCCCGGTTGCGAATACCAGTTCGGCATCTACCCAGACAGCGCCGAGTGCTCGACCAGCTACATCAAGTGCGCCTTCGGGATTCCCGAGCAGGAGCCCTGCACCCCCGGCCTGGTGTACGACGAGAGGATCCACGGCTGCAACTGGCCTGACCTGCTGCAACCTTTCTGCAACCCTGAAGGTAACGGGTCAAATATAGCTTTTAGAGACCGTTCACTTAGTTTGCTAGTCATGTTCAAGTTTATCAGTTGATTTCGATTTTTGCTTCCCCTTTAAGCTTCAACTACACCAACGCGTGTAGTTCGCCATCGCCGGCGCAATCATAGGCCAATGACAGGTCGCGCGACCCATGACAGTCCGCGCATTACGGATAAAAGTTTATAGCGAAAAGACCACTTCTTTTCACGTTTTCATCACGTGATCAGTTTTACGTGTTTTATAACAAACTATCAGTTTATTGAAATTGAACCGAATTCATTTAATGTTTAATGCCACTATAATTACTTATCTAATCACCAAAACAACTGTTAGTTTGAACAAAAGTGGTGTCTGTAGAAAGTTATGAAAAATGTAGGTACTGCGGTAAATATGTATAAAAAAACTGAAACTATTCGTTGGAAGTCAGTTCTGATACACTTTTTTGTTTGCCTATTATCGAAATTCTCGTGTATAAATTATATAAAATATTTGAACTGGCTTTTTTTCTAATTATTTTAAACATTATTTATTTCAACAGCGGTCGTCGGCTTCAAATGCCCCACCAAGGTGCCTTCGAACACGCAGGCTGCCAAGTTCTGGCCATTCCCTCGTTTCCCAGTACCTGGGGACTGCCATAGACTGATCACATGTGTGGAAGGCCAGCCCCGTCTGATCACCTGCGAAGAAGGCAAGGTCTTCGACGACCAGAACCTCACCTGTGAGGACCCAGAGCTGGTGCCGCACTGCGGACACTGATGGAGATAATGTTTGTATCGCAAGACGAAAACGAAACTGTGAGGTTTTAGAAATTAAGTCTAAAACAGAATGAAGTTTTATCCACATCAACACACATGTTAATGTTCCTAGATATTTTTTATTATCAGGTTTCTCATTTTTTATTTTTTTAAACAACTACAAGTTTGTATATTCAGTTAAGCACAACTGTTTTCGTTTTGTGATACTGGTATGATGTAATTATATATGTATCTAATTTAAATCTTCTGAAAGCAAATCCGAAATATTCTTCCACCGAAATCTATTTATTAACTAACTCGTGAATTTCAATCAAATTGCTATACCTAAACCAATGTATGTAAACTCGATATGTACCTACGTTGCCAAATACAATCGATTCGAGCGTGATATTAGTTACCGTAGAAATAAACATATATTTTTGTTACATTATGTAAAGTCACAGTACCATGTAAGTATAATTATATATGTTTCATATCTCTGTAAATACCTGTTACAAAAATATGAGAATGTAAATAAGATTTGATATGTTTGAAAGATTAAATAATATAAATAAAGTGAGAGGTGTTGTACTTTTCTAACTTTTCCCATAAAATTATAGGCAATTATGTAGTATCATGAGACACTGGAATACTACTGGAATTTTCCAGCACTAGGCAGCTTGCCTAATTTAGGTGACGTCCATGTAAGTTATTTTTCTAGCATAGCCTATATGCTAGAAAAAAGTATTACTGAAGAATTTAATAAAATCACAGAAGCTTAAATGGTGCTTAATATGTAAAGTTTGTTATCCAGAGCTCAAAAATATGTTTCATGGTAATAATACTTTTTGATTATACATCCATAGCTTAATAAAAGGACCATTATGGTCAGAGCCTTTATACGGTGGAAGGGCTTTCTTAGTCAGAGTAATTTTTGGAAGCAACGCTATCACAGCTATCTTCCACAGCTGATTATTGTCCCGAAGTGGTGGTAGGGTAAGCTATATTTGGGCATGTCTAAGGGCCCTTTATATTTGACAGCATTTGACCAAAACGTGCTTACGCTTACGTTTACGTTTGGGTAGGTAAATAAAAGAAGTTTAAAAAAATAACTTAAGACTAGCTTTATTTATTACCCTACATCAGCCTATTCCTCGGGCTCCGGCGCCGCCTTGCCCTTGTGCGGGCGCATGGGCTTGCGGCGGGATGTTTGTGAGCCGCTCGTCTTGGGCTTGGCGGTGGAAAGGCTTTCTTAGTCAAAGCAATTTTTGGAAGCAACTATCTATCACAGCTATCTTCTGCCACTTTCAGCACCAGCTGATTATTGTCCCGAAGTGGTGGTAGGGTAAGCTATATTTTGGACATGTCTCATAATCATCATCTCAGCAATAGGACGTCCACTGCTGAACATAGGCCTCCCCCAATGCTTTCCATGTTACCCGTTTGGTAAGCGGCCTGCTTCCAGCGCTTTCCTGCTACCTTTATGATGTCGTCGGTCCACCTTGTGGGTGGACGTCCCACGCTGTGTGTTCTGATACGCGACGTCTATTCCAGAACCTTGCTGCCTCATCGGCCGTCAGTTCTGCGTACTATGTGCCCTGCCCATTGCCACTTGGACATGTCTAAGAGCCCTTTATATTTGACAGCATTTGACCAAAACGTGCTTACGCTTAGGTAGGTAAAGAAAAGAATAAAAGTCATTTATACCTTAAGACTAGCTTTATTTATTACCCTACATCAGCCTATTCCTCGGGCTCCGGCGCCGCCTTGCCCTTGTGCGGGCGCATGGGCAAGGTAATATTATCATACAGTATTGTAACTTCATATAAACGGACGAAACGCGAGTTTTCCTTCGAAATTCAAATCTCGGTATGCGCTCGACATGCAAAAGTCGGGGGTGTCGCGAATGTGCAATCGGACGATGTTTTGTTTTTTAAACAGTAAGCGCTCTTTTTTTATAAAAGAATTATAAGAACCTATTTATACAGGGTGTCAGGTAAATGGGTTTATAAGCCAACACTAGACCATGTTAACATACCTATATGGTGAAGTCAGTGATATCATAATTTTATTTTTATAATTTTCATACAAAATAAAATTTATAAAATCAGATTTGTATGAAAATTCAAATTATTAAAATAATGATATCAATTTTCTGACTTCATCATACCATTTATATACCAAGGGCTAGTGTCGGCTTATAAACCCATTTACCTAAACACCCTGTATAATAATCGATAATACGCCTAAGTCGAGACGCATAAATTTTAAGGTCGTAAATTTATAAAGATTTGTTACTAAATCTTAACACAAATTTATATTCTTTTCATTAAATCTACTAATCACTAAACAACATGCATTTTTATCCTATTTCATTCACAAAGTATTTTGTTAGTCAAAATAAAATAAAAATTACAATAACAAAATACATTCATAATACTAGATAAAAATTCAAAGTAGGCAGATGTAATGAAAATAGGGCCTGCAAGTGGGCAGCCCTATCGCATCTTGTCATACCGTGACGTTCCGCGCGGCTGTTGACATTTATTTCAAAAATATGGCAGAGTTGGAATACTGTATAGATATTATTACCGTGGCATGGGCTTGCGGCGGGATGTTTGCGAGCCACTTGTTTTGGGGTTAGCGCTGGAAAGGCTTTCTTAGTCAACCTTAGTTCAGCACCAGCTGATTATTGTCCCGAAGTGGTGGTAGGGTAAGCTATATTTTGGACATGTCTCATAATCATCATCTCAGCAATAGGACGTCCACTGCTGAACATAGGCCTCCCCCAATGCTTTCCATGTTACCCGGTTGGTAGCGGCCTGCTTCCAGCGCTTTCCTGCTACCTTTATGATGTCGTCGGTCCATCTTGTGGGTGGACGTCCCACGCTGTGTTTTCTGATACGCGACCTCTATTCCAGAACCTTGCTGCCCCATCGGCCGTCAGTTCTGCGTACTATGTGCCCTGCCCATTGCCACTTGGACATGTCTAAGAGCCCTTTATATTTGACAGCATTTGACCAAAACGTGCTTACGCTTAGGTAGGTAAAGAAAAGACATTTATACCTTAAGACTAGCTTTATTTATTAACCTACATCAGCCTATTCCTCGGGCTCCGGCGTCGCCTTGCCCTTGTGTGGGCGCATAGGCTTGCGGCGGGATGTTTGCGAGCCGCTCGTCTTTGGCTTGGCGGTGGGCGGGTTCTCAGAGCTCTTATAAGATAAACTGTTCTTGAACATAGTGTTTCTAAGTCATAATACTTTTTGATTAAGCATACACAGCTTAAAAGTGTACAAACATCACTGTTTACGAGTATTATTATGAAGTCCGAAAAACAGTCGTTTGTTAATTTAAACAAACCCGAGATTTAGAGTTGGAAACGATTTGGACATAAACCTTTTGTCTAGTGTCTTTTAATTTGAGGATACAGTACCTTCAATTAACATGTTTCTTGGCACATCAGTTATTAATTAGGGTTTCTTTTGGCTAGTGGAAATATGAGAGTTGCGCGACATTATCACAGCAACCAAGTCAGGACACAGACGCTTACTTTTCTGTCGCAAGTGGGGTAGGTTAGAGGGCAAATAAAGAAAAATCTTGTTTATACCTTAAGACTAGCTTTATTTATTAACCTACATCAGCCTATTCCTCGGGCTCGGGCGCCGCCTTGCCCTTGTGCGGGCGCATGGGCTTGCGGCGGGATGTTTGTGAGCCGCTTGTCTTGGGCTTGGCGGTGGGCGGGTTCTCCAAAGCGTCCAGCTCGGCGTCGGTCAGCTGGCCCTTGTACCAGTCGGCGCTACAAAGAATGATTATTGTTAAGTTATGAAATTAGATTTAACTTACATGCCGTAAACTGTTTCACCGTAATTCAGTAATCTACGTAAGTTTTCAGTAAGTGATATGAACGATAATTTAAAAGGGAATTATTCAAACACGTTGGGCGACGCGTGCCTCGCCAGTGAGCCTCGAAAAATACAATATTGTGTCTAGTGTCTCGGTAGACTTCAAAAAGGCAAAAAAGTGTTTAGTAATTTCAACGTCACTTTTTCGGTAACGCTGTAGGTTAAGCCTAGGTGAAGTACGTTTCGAAAGTTATGTGGAATTCACTGACTGGGTAGTCTATTCTAATAAGGCATGGACTAAAAGTGTTAGCCTTGATATTTAGGAGCACGGGCATACCAAATTGAATGTAATAACAGAACTATTACCACTGGGATAGCATTTACTAATTGACCACCAATAAAAAAGCCTTCACTAGTTTCTTTAAAGAAAATCCGTATAGCACTCACCATTCAGGCACCTTCCTCGCCCACTCGCACTTCTTGTGGACATCATCGAAGGCCTGTCCGAGCTTGCAGCCGGATCGGCGGGGCGTGTTGCCGTTGATACACACGTAGAAGAACTGACAGTCTTCAGGGTCGGGGTACCGCGGGTGCGTCAGGCCGAAGGTCTCGTTGACCGCTGGGCAATCGAAGTCAAACACCTCTGTTGGGAAAATATTGGAAATTCGATTTAAGTTGCTGTCGATGTTTAATGTTCTGTCGTGTTTTTAATTAGTTTTACCTAGTAAAGATTAAGGCTGAGTTGCACCACCTAACTTTAACCGTAACTATAAAAAATAACCGGTGCTTTTTGTATGGAGTTTGACAAGTTTTTGACGTTTGTTAAAGTTAATGTAAGATGGTGCAACCCAGCCTAAGATAACGAGACTTATCCCAACTCAACTGTAGCTAGGATCTAGAGTTTGACCTCCAAAGTTCTGTTTATTATCGTGGCACCCGCAACGAATTTAATCAGAAGAATATAGGAGTGTTAATTTATCGAATGTGATTATAATTTCAAAATAAAGGGCACTAAGCTCGTAATTGCACTAAGACGAAAACATAAACATATTAACTATCTAATTATTTCTACAAGACAGCGCATATTTCAACTATAAACTTAAAAATATTAATGCATGACGCAAGTGCTTGTAAGTATTTTAAAATGATAAAAATATTTACCAGCAGCGCCACAGCCCTTCTTCTTAGCCTCATCAGGCCAGGTGCAGATGCCGGTCTTATCGTTGTACACCAGGCCGTCGGGGCAGGTGATCATGTTGAACTTGCCATCCACGCAGTAGTAGAACTTGCCGCACTCCTTGGGGTCCTCGTGGGAGAAGTAGCCGTTCAGACGCGGGCAGTGGAGAGTGGATAGGGGCGTTTCTGGAAAGGGGCAACAGAACTTCAGTTAATATTATTATTTAGAAAGAATGTTATAATTTTACTTCTTATTTATTATTATTATTTACATGTACCATCTATTGTATCATCATCACCCTGGTGTCCGATTTTCTGTGCCTATTATAGGCCTCTAACGTGGATTGATCAGACTAACCAGTTTGGGCTGCCATCTGAAGTACTATTCGTTAAATCCC